TCTAAATCTATATATAATTATATTAAATAAATTTCTTATAACAAAACTTACCAAATTTTTTGCTAATTTATTTTTAAGTACGCTCTTTGAAATAGTTAAATTGTCTTGCTTTAGATCTAAAATATTTTGACAAACTGCGATTACATATGCAACCTTTTCATTAGTAGTTTCTCTAGAAGGCCAAATTTTGTTTAAAATTAGCGACATATAAGTTTCCTCAGAATTATTAGAAACTTTAATAAAAAGTCGCTTAAAACAGGATACAGTTTTATCAGAACATTTCTATTTAATTATCTTCTCATGTGTTGCTTTGTTGTTAATAAGATCTAAAAAATCTCCAAATACAGAAAACATCGAAGCCTTGATCTTGGTAGTAAACGTACTCCACAATAATCTAAATTTTTCCAAAAGCTAAAATTTTAAAAGTTAATAAATATTCTAAAATTACATTTTTAAAATAAAATTTGAATTTATTTGAATTTATTCAAATATATTCGAATTTATTTGAATATATTTGAATTTTCTAAAATTAATATATTTAAATTTATTCAAATATATTCGAATTTATTTAATTGATGATCTGCCATAAATTGATACCGGTTATACTAATTAAATGTAACAGAAGATCATTATGAAAGTAATCAAATAAGCGATTTTCCACTTTAATTGATGATCCACCATAAATCGATACCAGTTACACTAATTAAATGTAACGGAAGATCATTATGAAAGTAATCAAATAAGCGATTTTCTACTTTAAGTAAAATTATATAATTTTAATGTATGACGTATATAAATTATTATAATTTGATCGCTTAATATCAAGATTATCTAGCTTTAAAATTTGATAGTTCATTTTAACAACCAATTTGACATTTACTTTGAGCAAGCAGCTTAATTTGGGATACTGTAACTATGAATGTCTAGCGTGATTTCAAATATTAAGCAGGCAAAAAACTTTTTTTAATTTAATTTTTGCGATTTTACAGCTCTTGGCTTGATTTTAAGCGGTTTAAAACTATTTGCTTAATATAACCATATCGCTTAACTCAATTTTAAGTATGGACTTTATTTATATTTTACAGTTATTACTATCGAATATTGGTTAAGTTTTACTTATTTATTATTAATCTTTGTAGCTATTTTTTTTTCCTTCATCACTTGCTCCTTAAACTCAGCCAAATAGTTTTTTATCCAATTTTTGATTGTGTTCACATTTGGTATATCATCTTTTTCTACCTCCCTGGATACTACAAATTCTTGAAGGGAGTCATATATTTCTTGTGCAGTTAATTTATCATAAGGATTAATATTCCCGTTCAAAAACATATTGATCAATAATTGTTTGACATGTTTCTTTATACGTTTACCGCTATCTTTTTTATCATATTTTTGATTCCCTTTTAGTGCCCAACCCTTTTCAAATCCATATACTTGATCAACATCCATCAATTCATCATCTAGATAAGTAAGTCACATTTGAAAATTATTTATTGATAAATTTAATCTGATATAATAATTATATAACAATTGTTATATTTCTTACTTGATTCATTAGAACCTTTGGATATTGGACAAGGTGATATGTTAAATGTATCTATATTATCTAATGCCAATAATTTATAATATGTTATATACCCTTAATAGATGTATATAGCACGTATATATTGTAAGTGAAATTTTTTCTGATGGCTTTTACCATTTATCACTATGTATAATACCCAGTTCTTATTCACAAAATCTATATTTTAAATTGATTAGTATCAAGAACTATTCATGGTTCTGGTGATTTTATTTGCAGAGAAGAGGTACTTTATATGGTAGAATTTTATTGTAGGGTATTATATACAGTGGCAAACAGTATATGATTTCTGCTAACAATTGTTTGGTAGAAATGCATTAGATATTATGTGTGTACCAAAAAAGGAAAGTCTGTAAAGTTAACCTTAACTTTTATCTTATCAGAATTAGTCCCTGAAAGATCTAATTTGGCTCAAAGACTATGATAACGCAACACATATTACCAAATGATCAGAACAACCAGTCAGAGTTATTTCTGGATTCAGATTTAATCATTTATATCTGGATTTAATCATTAGATCCGGATTTTACAGTTGTTCCCATAAATTCTGAGACAACTGATAAAAATTGATCGATGATTATTCGGCCGAATTTGATAAGTTTTTGAATTTGATGTTATGGTATTACTGTAATGCCGTTAATCTAATGTCGATAACCGAATTAAAAAACTTATCGAATTCGGCCGAATAACCATTGGTCAATTTTTATCAATTTTTCCGGAATTTACGAGTGCAGTTGTAATTTTTAAATACAGATTTAACTATTAGATCCTAATATAGGTATAATATCTGGATTTAAATATGCGTCATATTACCTTGTCCACTCATGAATCTGGTTTTAGTTATATAGACAATAGTCTAAGTCCAGATATCATTGTTAAATCCAGATTTTATAATTAAATCCGGATCTACAGCTGTTTTCATAAATTCTGGAATATGATCATTCGGCTAAATTCGATAAGTTTTTGAATTCGGTTTTATTGGCATTTATTGTAATGCCAAAAATCTGTAATGCCAAAAATCCAATGCAATAATACGGAATTCAAAAACTTATCAAATTCGGCAGAAACAATTTTTATCAGTTGTCCCAGAATTTATGAGAACAGCTATAATAACTAAATCCAGATTTTATGATTAAATCTGGATCCAGTTATTAACTCTACAACCAGTTACAACTTACTCTCATTATATTGAAGTCTCTATCAAATCTTCACTATAGTGAGAATAAGTTATATTATGGAATCAATTGTTCAGTGGTCAGTCTGGTAAGGTGAAAGTTCATAGACCAATTCATAGTTTTCCATTTTCGTTACTCATATAAAAGCACATCACTAATCTCGAATAATCAAAATTAGCATTTATATTTACTTGATCGAGCCATCGTCCATTTGTTTTTAGGTATAGTGGAGCTTGATAATACCGGTTCAGGTCTGCAGATTTTATCATTGCTAAGATTTGCTATTGTAGCTAGTGAAAAATGAACGAACTCACCAAAATTTGCAATGGTTGTGCTTGTATATAACCTGCGAATGGGCCATCAATTGGCCATTCCCAATAAAAAAAATTAGAAATTCCTGAAATAGTATTAATGCTAACTTTTTTTTTTCATTAAGTTTTTCAGAATTGTCTTCTAATTGAGTTACTTCTTTTTTAGCTCTATTAGGTTGAATATTTGCGAGATATGTTCCTGATAATTCCTTTGCTGCATCTACAATATTTGATCCTTCTGAAACATTGTATCCTATTCTTATATAACGTTTTATAGCATGGGAAATCTATTGCAGAAAAAAAAAAGTAAGTTTAATCAGTATGTGCTAGTGATAATATTTTAGACAAATAAGTGCACGTCACTCTGATTATATTGATACTCCAAAAAAAATTGTCTAATATATCCAGATATCGATTGCATTTAATACTAAGGATATATGTTCAGTTCAAAGTTTTAAGATACAGTATCATTATAGTTATCAGATGTTATATTCAGTCGACTCTTTCTATAATGAACTAAAGATTCTGGAAGGAAAAAAAAGTTCGTTATAGAGAAATTACTATGCTTCTTAAAAACATATGCCACTTTTTATACTGAACTATTATGAAATTTCAAAAGTTTTAAGTTGTTATATCCAAAGTTCATTATAGAAAGGTTCGTTATGTCCAGAGTCGACTGTATATAGGTCAAGGTATTAATTGTACTAATCAATGTTTAAAATAATATACTAACAGCTACATGATGTGAATCAATAGTAGTTTTGGCTTCACCTGGCTCTAAAAATAACCATCTCCGAATTTCTATTTGGTACTATTCATACCAGTATGCAACAATTATCATAACTTCGCTACTATGATAGTGTGCACCGTTATCAGATATTATAAAAATCCACTTAGGCTTTTGTTTTATTGAAGTAAAAACTGCTTCAAAACATGATACCGTAAACCAGGCATCTTGTTTTGTATTAGTTAACCAATGGTCATATGCACTAATTTCTAAATCTTGTTCATTTTCATCTAGAGTAAAGACTAAAATAGTGTGAAGAGTCTATCCACGTTTTCCAAAAAATTGTTGCTTAGATTCTCACGCTAATTTTGGCAATATACACATTTTATAATCGGCTATAATTACTGCACCATCTTTATCAATACTTTTTAATATTGGTTTAATCTGAGTATTTAAATATGCTTTTCTCGCTTGATGAGCCCAGTAATATTTTAATTTTTCTTGGTATTGATCTAACTGCTCACATTCAAGTTGGTTTTTTAAGGATTCGAATAGCTGAAAAAATAAATTATATTTTTCACAACATTTTTCGTGTATATAATCACATGATCCAAAAGCATAGGGTAAGCAATGATTAATACAACTCTTATGAAATGTTATTCCATTATCGTCAATTGCTAATTCCCGCTCAAACTCTCGTTTTAAATACCTTTTTAAGTTATCAATATGCATTAAAAGCAGATTCTAATATATGAATATATAAATAAGTTTTTTTTTTATAAAGTTTTTTGAATTATTAAATACATACTAATTTATCTTGTAATTTTATATTGCTTCTAATCATAGCAGTTAAATCTTCAAATACTTCAAATCCATATTGGCTGCATATTTGGCAAAGTCCTCCAAGATCTTCACGATACTTAATATGAGATGCATTTGCTAACCTTCCTATAAATAAGGTTTTTTTCATTCTATTAGGATATAAAAAATTAAATTTAGACCACACTGCTTTTTTTTGGTCTTGAAGATAAAGAATTAGAAGTCCGCTTGCTTTGTCTACTTGGTATGAGCTCATAGTTACATTACATTTATCTGCAAAAAATAATTCGAATTCTTTTTCTTTTACTTCTGACATTTTTTTAACCTTTTTTTTAGGTATATTAATAGATACAGCTCCGGGTCCATACAATCGTGCATGTTTTTGAGCTACATTAATTGTTTTACGTCTGATCTAATAACAAATAAAATAAAGGTTTAATAAGTCTTTAAATTTTAAAATATTATAGTAGTTTGTGTTTGTTAAATGACCTGTAATTTTTCTTGTAATTCTGAATAAGTAAATTTTTCAGCTATAATGGAAAGAATTCGAGTTCGATTATATGGGCCATTCTTGTTATTATTTAAGGATTGTTTAAACGCTTCCCAAAAATTAATATCAGTACTATTTGTGATTGTGATTGGTGGTGTAAAATTAAGATCAAGCATTTTGTTTTCATATAATTTTTTTAAATTTGCCTGATCTATTGTAAGATTTTTAGAGCGAGTCCAAAATTCTAACTGTGAAATGTTTTTTGTGAATGGTGTAATATTTGTACACCCGCATGCATTAAGCATTGCTTTCCAAGCACAAATATCTTTATTTTGTAATTGATATGTTGGTAAATATGTTGACTGTAATGCTTTGTCTAATCGAATAATCGAATGTCTGTCCTTTAACCAATTAAAAAATAAACTATGCCATTCTAACATGCTACTCATATTAAGTTTTCGTGATTTTATATATTTATCAAAAACTGCATTAAGCTTTTCAGTTGAATACCAATGCCGTGAAGTACATGTAATCATTTTTTTTTTTTTTTTTTTTTTTTTTTTTGCAAATGCCATAGTTGAAACTTTATTTAATAAAATAGAATAAAATTCT